ATCCCTTGACAATCTCCTTGATATGGGCTATCCTGTCGAAATCGACCTCGAGTTCATCAAGCTGCCGCAAGATGTCCATATATCGTGCAATTTCGGCATCGGCGCCGTCAATGATGTTGCCGGCTCGGTCGTATTGAACCTGTGTGAACATCTGGGCTTGTTCGCTGAGATGGCGGATGTTCTGCTCGATGCCGGCCATCAATCGATCGAAATATCGCCCCAGGGCTGATAGCGATGAGCTATCCAGCATCAAGAGGCCTTGGCTGCTGGCTCTGCTGGCTGCCCTGGAGCTTGCCGAACCTCCGCCGCCTCCCAAAGCCGCCTGGCCTTGCCGAAGCAGCTGAATCTCTTCGGCGCTGAGTCCCAGTTGTGTATCCGGCACGGCATTGGAAGTGGCCATGGCTGGCTGTCGTGCGAGGCGCTACGGCGCCTCTGGGACAGAGAGAGCCACTCGTGGCCGTGGCGAGGCCAGCAGTGTAGCAAAACGGATAGCTATGGCGTCGAGGTTGAGGATGGTGGAGGGTACGGCGATGGTAATGGCGGTTGGTGAAAACGATAAAGGACGTCGGATCGATTATACCACGGGACGACGAGGCTTAGGTTTGCGATGGGAAACGAGGACTGTACTGTGCATGAATATTCGAGTGACGATGGCGTCTGGTCCGGCAAAGTCAATGCACAGAGGGTCATGGTCTCGGGGTGATGACGGCAGTGATGTGCATGACACCGCAGGTTGGATTGAGAGCTGGCGGCGCGCAAGTGGTTTGAAACCGAACCCCGGTGTGGCCAGGTTTTGGCGCAGGCCTTATCCCAGGATCTTTGTGCAGTCAGGAGCTTGTGATTGGAGAATCGGTATCGTGGGGGGAAAGGCGGTCGTTGCTTCTGGCCGGCGGCTGGTAGACGTTGTCACCTTTGTAAGCCGCAGAAGCCAGTGAACAGCAATGGTGAACAGCAACGGCGAACAAGATGTCGTCGATACATCCGTCGGCGGAAGAAGAAGCAAAGAAAGCATTCGAGCTCAAACAGGCGCCCGAGGTTGTGAATGGCCCGGCACCAGCGATGGGACAGGGCCATGGTCTGTTTGAAAGCTGCCCGATTCCAGCGGTGCGGGCGGCCAGATATTAGTGTCCAGGCGAGTGTGAGGTACCTGCGATGACCCCACGTTCCACTAACAAGAGCTCAAGCCAGCCTGCGAAGCAACTGACCGACAAACCATTCCGGAGTAGCCTGCGAAGGAGGCCAGCCGCAAATTTGAGCCTCTTCCGCGCTTGTTTGCACGCCTGGTCTGCTCTGCCGGGAGCTATTTTTCGCATGTTTTTGCGCTAGAATTCAAAGTTCAAAGGCTGTGAATGGCTACCAATCACATGGCTCTAGAACCATTGTCGAATATCTAGCTCGAGGCCGTTTGATCTTTGACGGCTACCAGCATGCATTCACTGCAGGGGTAACCGCTGCAGGCCGGGTAATAAGTCTTGGGGGCTGATTTGTGCTCCGCCCATCGAGATGGAATTTAGTCTGGCTGGCCATTCGTTTTCTTGTTCGCCGATAACAAGCTGAGCAAGGAGGGGCGAGCTAGCTGGGCAAGAATCCGAGGGCTGAATACATAAGTCGCGGCATCGCGTTTGCCGGCCCGTCCATACGGTAGGATTGCAAGACGCTGTGCTGCTAGCTGGGAGGAAGAAGAAGCTCTTTACTAAAGTAACGGACGGACGGACGGCCGGAGAGATGATGCCGAGGTAACGGTCGACAGTGTTGCGGTATCAGACCAGAGAGCCTGCAGTACGCAACACTGCTCTTGATCAACGACAGCCGCTGCAAACGCCCACCACCCTCTCTCAGAAGGGAGAATAGCGGAACTGGCCGGAGCAAGCGATGTTATACGGATCAGCGTCGACCGGATAGGAAGCTGGACGAGACAAGGGAGCCGGGACGAAGCCAAACGGCCAAAAGATGGTGTGTGACGGTCAGCACCTAACGGTGACTAGAAGAAAAAAGAACGCGAATTAATTACGGATAGCGAGTCACGGAGGGGAGAGGAGGGAGAGGAGGAAAAGGGAAAAAACGAGAGGCGATCACGAGGGGGGTTGAAGCCCCTCCCCTTGGCTGGGAAGGAGCAGGTACTCTTGCAGGTACCTCGAGATATCCCCAAAAGACCCTTGTCCTAGAACTATCGACATTTTCCTTCTTCATCCATATTCACCATCGACGTCAGCATCAACAGCATTAACAGCATCTTCTTCTTCTTCTTCTCCTCCGTCGTTGCCCTCATCCTCACTTTCACCTTTCACCATCATCGCCAATCAATCTACTTCATGTCGTCTGTCCATGCCAGAAACACACACACAGACGAAAAGAGCCCTTTTTGTCCGACGCGACTCTACCCAACCACCATCCATCCAATCTATCCTACCCACAGCCACCGACGCCAAACCGCCCCTCACCTCCCTCTCTGCCATCGTCGACGCTCTCAACGTCCCTTTTCTCCCTCCATCGCCGAAGGGTCACGCCCGCCGCGGATTTACCCGCTCCGTAACACGAACAGGCCCCATCCAAGGCATGGTGCTGCGATTTCATGCCTCCGTACTCACTACACCACAAGGCCAACGCCCGGTTCCTGACATGGCCTTGCGGGCTGCCACTCTGATTTGACCCATCCCGGGAGAATCTTGGATGCGACGGATATGCGCAGACACATGCAAGAGCCCGTCTAGAGATGCATCCTGCCCTGCTTCCCATTTGTCCGAGGCTCGTCTCTGCCTTGCTGATTCCCCCCTCATACGCGATCTTGGTTTGTGCGCGATCGTCACATCTGACATGCCTAGATAAGCGTGCGTGCTCCTTTGGCCGTTGATGAGCTCGTCGTGGTTGCGTATCCCCGCCTACCATTTTATGGAACCAGTCTCCCGTCCCTCGGGTGAAAGAGACGTGCGCCCGTTCTTTATCGTGAGAACGTACGCCTAGGTACACATATCCCTGATACCAAACGGCTATCAATACCTTGTCAAGTGCCGACTTTGCATCTCTCGACATGAGCCATTACTCTTCGTGCAACAAGTCGCACTGCGTCAAGCCTCGCAGCCATATCGGGCCCGCCTTGCATCCGATGTGCGCGCGGGATCGTCCGCAGCGGCCCTTATGCAAATCACCCTCCGCGCCGGCTGCGCGGCTTGCAGCAGCGTGCAGAAGCTTGATGCTTCGGTAACCCCATGTAACCACGGGTAAGCCTCATGACAGCTCTCAGTCGGCTCTAGTACGAACCGTTTCCACAGGCCCGGCAAAGTAAATGATGTTCCCTCACGACCACTCAGAACTGATGGTTTGAGAGAGCTGCACGTCAATGTGCCACTAAACCAACTCGCTTCTTTTATCGATCCTTCGTACTTGGGAATCTTGTCAATTACGGCCCCGCCTGTTCCCTGGAGCCATTCCAGAACAAGGCCTCACACCCTCTTTTCGTGGAACTTCTTCGGCCTCAAAATTCATGGAATTGCATCTCTCTTTCTTGATTGCACCCTCTTGGGGGCGCACTTGAACATCCAGCCAATGGTAGTCATGCTGCTGCTCGTTCCGTCTCAAACAGCAGCCAGTCAAATGACTGCCCGAAGTCTATCGATCGATTCCTCGCGACCCTGTTGTGCGACGGTGGCGTCACTGCATGTGACTATGATATATCGGTATACTGCGTTACTAGGATCCTAATTCCGCCTATTAAAGGCATTATTATGCGTTTTGTGTTATGGCGACGGGTTCCAAACTACAATGCCGTCGAGAGACTGTCTCTCCCCTTTGTTTCACGCTGAGGCATATTTCATCATCCGCCCAATTAATTGCCTGTTCAACCAAGTACACACACCACCAATGCTTCTCGTTTATGCGTGCCAAGAGCGCTGTGTGAGACTAATGCCTTTTGCCGAGGCGGTTTTGATGCGTTTCGGAGTGTGTTCAGCGCTTTTTGTTGGTGTAAGGCCGCTGCTTTATTTGAAATGGCCATACGTTAGTGCTCTTGAGGAGATGTTTCCATATCAGAATATTTCAAGCTCCGGAGATCTAGTAAAGTGCTTTGGTGCTCTTCTTTTACCTTTTTCCTTTGGCCAAACTTGCTTGGGTTAATTCGTCCCTGTAGATCGGCGTTTTGAGGTGAGGAATTGGTAGCCGAGCTGCATTCGATACTTCGCCCTCCATTTCATATGACAAAAAATAGCAACGTTGAACAGTTCGTTATAAAATCACAGCTTAACATCTACTTAATAAATAGAATGTTGTTCTCGTCTTATTGTAAAAGAAGTTGTCCTGCGATCTTACACTTCAAATCGATGAATGCCGTATGGTATTTTTTTTTTTATTCACTTGATGGCATCGATCTACTTGGGAGTCTTTTGCTTCTATCTCAATATGATCTTTCAACATCACATGATATTACAAACCTCTTATTTTTAACGATGCGTTCGACAAATTTTGCTCTTGTGTATGAACAGTGCTTTGCTTTTATGCGTTTGACAGTGCTTGCTCTCGCGCATTCTTCAGGACCATATTAGCGAGGCAAAAATACAGTCATATCATGTAATCATCAAAAACAAGGTATATAGTTCAGGTTTGTTATCTCTATCAACAACCAGGTACATTGTCAAGCAACCAATCCATCGTTTCCAATCGCCTAATACCCCGAGGCATGGCCTTCAAACAATCTTCAAGCTCCCGCACTGTCCAAGTCGAGACAACTTTCTCGACAAACCGTCCACATTTGGCAGCAAAGTCACTCTGGGAAGCATCACAGAGTAACTGCAATTCCCTGCCTGCCAACGAAGCCGCCATCCACATGATAATCACCTTGATGACAGGATCGCCATTAAATGCGCCGCAGCCCCATAACCCCGTCGAGACAGTCGGAGCATCACCGCCCGTCCAGGACGAAAACGCCGTATACGCCTTTCGTATCTCACGCAGAATGTTTTCTTGCTTCAAATCAGGCAATAGCCCCAACTCATCCACTTCATCGAGCTCTAGTGCGTCCATGAGCAGCATTCTACCTCCTTGCTTGCTCCTGACTCAGGTTTCTCCCAGGAGAGGTCACGGCGCTGGCCCAAGATTCTCAGCATAGGGCGAGCTCCGCAGACAGTCAGAGTCTGGTCATCCTGTAATGTTGGGGTGAAGAGCACTGCGGGACAGGCTTCTGGACAATTTCCCATAAAGATCTCCTCCTGAGTTGCTGATTGCCCGAAACCAATGTCTTTATTAGCAGAGACAACCACCGCACCATCGTTGCCTTGATGAGCAAGTTCCTGTGACTCTGTGCTAAATTTCTGGACAAGAAGAACGGTCAAATTTTTAAGCCGAATTTGATCCCAATTCCCCCTTACAAAGTTTCCCGTCTCGCCGAAGGCGCGTAAAGAGAATTCTACTCCCCTATCAACGGAATTTTCCGGACTTGCTGGCCTGGGATCCGCACTGAGCTCTTCAAAATATTGGAAGAGCGCCGTGAGGTACATCTTCACTGCCTGCGGGTGTCGCTGTTCAGAGCCATACCAAATACCAAAGTCGTGATCTCCTTCACGCCAGGGAGGGGGCTGGAGAGTGCAGAGGAACTGATGAGCCACAAGGCATGCAACCATGTCTCTTGTAAGACTCAGCTTGTCCCCCGGTCGTAGTACTGGGATAGTACCTGTCGCGAAGTGATCCGGTAGCTTGAGCGAGAGCTGCACGATAGTGGGCCACAGCCTCGAGAAGAATGTGTCACCATGATGATGCTCCACAGCTTCTCTGAGTGTTCCGAAATCGCCGGCTGCCCCAGAAGAGCCATGGCTCGTATTAGCAATTGTATCGAGAACATCTATAAGCTGGGCAGGGGTGTTGACAGGCTGCTGGAGTATTTGTTGGAGCAGCGTCCAGTATGCTACCTGTCCATCCTCACCTTCTTCATCGAGAAGACTGAAGCGGTCAAGACACCGCCACGACGGCGAACAAGGCAGTAGCAGTTCCATCACAGCACCATGTGTAGTCGGGCAGAGATGTCTTCCACGAATCAGAAGACTTCATATGTAGCTGGATGTTGAATCTGCCTCCTGGCGATGAGTCATCCGGTGGCAGCTGAAAGCCTCCAGGTGGGGGTGCCGCCGACCTTGTCGCTTTAGTCTCAGCAATGTAGCATGACTTGGTTTGAGGCAGAATGGAGACTTTGGCCATATGTAGACAGCCCTTAAAATGGCAAGTAGTTATAGTATAGCCAAACTCGTGTTGAACAAGAGTCCTCCAAATAATCTCGTAATGCCCCAGTGGCCAGACTCTGCTCCAAGCAAGTTGGTAGCCGGTTGACACATCAGACGATTAAGAAATTCATTTCTGGATCTTTCAGCGTTTGCACCCAACTCTTGGATCCTCTTTCTTCAGCCGCTAGATTCCAAATAACCTGAAGCGTTTCCATGGCAGTATGGATGAAGCCCCACGGACATACCGTGGTCATTATGCGTAGTCTTTCCATGATGAATTTTTGCCTTGCTGGATCCCTCGTCTCCGCACCTATGATGAATGTTGGCCACGTAGTAGCCTTGAAATTGGGGTCTTCTACAGGCATCATGTTCAGGTGCGCTAGTAGGTCGTCCGTCAGGAAGGCGGCAAACTCCGGACCAAGCCTCTCTCCGGCGGACGGGATGGCCTGTAAGATATATATGCAGGCAGCTAGGCGATGACTGGCCCCTGCGTGCATGCGACTTTGCATAACATCATTTGCTAGATCAAGAGCTCTGGCAGTGTCGCGAGCCCATGCATAAATATCGTAAGCTTGAGCACGATCGATGAGGTCCAGAGCAGCCCTGGTAGTGGCTTCGTCGGACTCATCCCCAATCACACTGTTTGAAAGCTGGGAGGCCTCGTGTAAGATTTCCATCAGCTCTGGCGGGCAGCACAAGTAACTGTTTGCCACCGTCTTGCCAAGCACAAATGGAATTTGTGAGGACTCAAAGTTCAGCGACGCCGCATATCGTGCCGGCATAAATGCTGATGCCAGGATAAAGTAACTGAGCAAAGCAGTCAGTAAGGGAAAAGGAAAGCAATCCAGTTACAAAGGCAAAAGTTACAATAGCTTACATGAAACAATCTGAGAGAAGGTAATCCCGTAATGAGCTATCCCAGGCCTTGGTAAGCCGCAAGAAGGACATGATCTTTGCAGCTCCCTCGAGGTGTGCCCTCCATCCATGCTTTCCTGATTCAATCAACTCCACGTTGATGAAGAAAAGCGAGGCAGCGAGCACGACGTCACCATTGATGGTGTCGAGATTTTGAATCGCGGTAGACATTAGCTTCAGCGCCGTGTGCTTGGAAACCAATGCATCATTCAGCGCCCTAGTCGATGCTGCGTCTCGGTTGGCGGGTATAAACCCGCCATCGGGGTAGGGTAGGCCCATTCTAATCAAATTGGACATGTGCGCGGCTGAGGCTGCAACGATGATGTGCTGTAGTAGCGGGTGAGCACGAGTCAGCGGGATGAGACTGCGGAAAGGATTGCACTCTGGCCCGTCATTGGAGACCAGATCTTTGCACACACGGCTGGTGACTGGCGAGAGATACGACGCGATATTAGCACAGAGGAGATGGAAAACATTCGGACTTGGACGCACAGTAGTTGAGATAAAACCGGTGAGCCTGGTCCAGGCCTTGAAACAGAGGATCGACCAACACCCACGGGGTGCCCAGCCCGGCGGTTGGAGACGCGGGTTGGGAAACGGAAACGACCTGCAAGGCTTCTGCACCCGTCGACGATCGTCTGGCAAAGTACCCGTTCGGCGAGCTCCTCCGCGAGCGCACAATGGGTGACACAGCGCCGGCGTGTGTCGTCTCGTCCCCGTCCGTACCGGCGTCGGCATCAGCATCTTCGGCGTCCGCGTCCACCGGCGCGCTCGAGGTCCGGCCGGCGAGCTTCCCGCGACTGGCTATGGCTCCCGTCCACCGAAACAGCTTGCCGTATCCGAGACACTCCTTGCCCGAGGCGGCGCACTTGTTGCAGTGTGGATACGAGCGGTCACAACGGAGCCGCTGCCGACGGCAGTTGTGACATGGCTTCGTGGGTGGTTGGACTGAGCCCATGATGGCGGTGACGCTGCAGACGCCTGGTTGAGTCTGGATGGGGCCGCCAGTCTGGCGAGCAAAGACGCATGGCAGCAGAATGGGACGAGGATGGCCATTCCTGGCGCTGTGGTTTGGGATGTCCAGATATCACCATCTTGATGACAAGTGACCGCTAGGCCGAGACCGGCAGCCAAGGCTCAGCCGGTGCGCTAGCGGGAGCGGGAAAGCAGCGCCGGAGCAGAGTCCCGATTCTCCGAGGCTCTGAACCACAGGCTGCTGGAAGCCTTCCATTCACTGTATTTGCTCGCTTAGTGCGCTAGCTTGAACCGCTGAACGATCCGTTGCACGTCAACTCTGCATTAGCTTAGTAATGATGCAAGCCGTACTCCGTAGATGAGCAGTAGATGCAGTGGGAATAACCGATAAAATTTGGATGACAGATCTTGCTTTGCCCAAGAGAAAAACTATATATTAGGGTTGGAAATATCAGTCATGTTTTGCTATGGTAGAAGTGAGGATATCCGTGTCTACATCGTGACGGGAATCTCCCACTCGTATGCCACTTCTGGTATACGTTTGTGGGTTAGTAAGTGCAAGTACTTACATGTAATTATGCTACCCTAAAATACATGCATCTTGCCATCATCGTGCCTTGAACCATGTAGAACAACATAAGAAATCCAATGTAAGCAGTATAGTGACTCTTGAGATGAGTTTTCTTCAAATAGTCTCAAGGGAAACCGAGTCGTACGAGCCCTAGTGCAAGCCGTTGATTTTCATGATTCATGATTGCTTTTATCGTGATATCAGCGTCAAGTGATGGTCCCTACAACACTCTGCTATGCTTCATTTACTTCCAAAACAGCCAGAAATCTTTCAGAGACGCTCTCATCTAGTTTCTCTACACATTCTCATTATGTTGACATTCAGATTTTAAACTGTCTAGCCGAATCCCCCGTGAGGTGACTGGGCTTGCCTCCCCCCTCGACCTCGCTTCACTCGCTTCACCAGATAGATCTGCCTCAGTGATTCCGCTTCAAAGAATAAAACAAGTTCACATGATCCTCACACAATAAGTAATAAAGTCTCGTATTTCCTCTAGCTTCTTGTTAATTTAGATTGGAGTCGTCATATTATTACATTTTATTACATTTTGGTTTATAATCATTCCGTTATCAATGTTGGTTGTTGTACGCCCGATGATGAATCACGATCACGAGTGACATCACCGGCAGTTGTCTCTTATTACGACGAAAACGGGTTTCACAAAGATGTTGAGAACTGATATGAGATGTCAATATGAGATATCACCCCGGCTTCTCACCCCTTGAAATTGCCATCGAGGGCGAGACTACACCCGACACTCCCCTTACGTCACCTGTACTCTGCAACTTATGTTGGTAGGCGGATTATCCCTTGTGAAGTCCTTGCCATGTTGAGTTTGGCATCTCTGACCCATCACCGAATTGAAATGTTGTTGACTCGGTGTCAACCAAAAGTTCCAACCATCTCACTTCCCGCATCATCCGGTCTCCACGTGTCTTAACGCTCTTCAACAAGCCTACGTCTATCTACTAACATGTGTACTACACAGTGATAACGTGTATGCTGTAGTACTAAGGCAAATATGCTGCTGTGCATGGAAATAGCATTCATTCATGTTCCAAAGTACTCTGTACTCGTACAACAAAGGGACAATATCAGTGTGAGAGACGGTGCGAGAACAAGCCACAGCAGCACCTGGAACTTGCTCAAATGCCGTCACACCCGCTCCAGAATCTGACGAATCAATGCAAACTAACCATGGCTTGAACACGATATGCACTAGTCAATGCGAACAGGCTATTCCCCTGGGCGCTACCAGCTGTCAATGAGTAATTTCATTAAACTTTAGGGTTCTTAGTCGCCCCCAATTCCAATGAACGGTGACTTGTCAACTTGTCAAATATGGTCGCCGAGCAAATCTCGCGGTAAGAAACTTGACGCGAGATGATAGCCGCGAGAGAGAGAAATAATGGATCGCTCCAGATACGCCACCCAGGAACAGCCAGTTGGGATTGAATCCGAAAACAAGCGCGGCGCAGCTCCATATGACAACTGAAATCAAGTCGATCTGTCAGAAAACGGTCCCCGGGGAGTGCCCGAAGTAACGAGCACGGGTGCTACTTGTCCGTCGGTCTACATGTGTTGTACGAACGGTTTGTATGGGTGCCCCCCTCTCACCCCTTGAACATGTGCGTTTGGCATCTCAGCATTTGCTGTCATGTGAAAGAAACAAAAATGTGGTTAGACAAAGCGGCAATCCTTTCCGGACGGGGAGTTGCCCGGCATTTTGATACTACATATTGTCGCCCCGAATATGATTCCGACGCCTCATCATGTCACTTTTGTGATGGCGACTCTTACCTGAAATTCAAGGGCGATATCATGTCTCAGAACGAGGCACTGCCAACATGCAGTACGGGTGCAGGCGTGCCTGCTGACATGGAGTGGACATGGCCGCTGACATCGGCGATATGTCTGCTGACGGCTATCCCAGAAAAGGGGCAAGCCCTGCAAGAGTGGCCCAGAACCCCAACGGTACTGGGTTCGGGATTAATTATTGTTATTAGTCGGTACGGATTTGCTCAAGCGCGGCATTCGGGCTGACGAGCGTGTCCCAAGAACCCAGTTGTCAGGATTCGCTAAACGGCCCTATATCGCCCCCCTCGCAGAGTTGAACTCGGGGTGCAGCCGAGACCGTGGGAATGGGCCCCAGTGATTTACATCAAGGCTATCAAGCGCTGCCGTAATAGACGTTGATCCCTGCTTTCGGACGCCTTGCCTCGTTTTGCCTTGATGATCCGAGGAGAAATGCCTTGTCAGGCCAACCACAGGCGGCCAACAGAACAACTTGGAGGATTTAAACCAGCCATACCCGGTTCGGGTAGGCTTGTCCCAGCTTAGGTACGCGCTCACCATATCGTTGGCGATGCCAATTTGCGCCTTGTACTTCGTATCATCATCACTAAGAGATGGCCCTGGTTGTGCTCCACTGCGTTCCTATTGTGGGCTTATCTTGAGAAGCCATCTCGAAGTGTTGGATTCTTCTTTGACCCCATGCGTACCTTTTGCCGCATTGGGATGACAGGACATCCATACTGGGACATGACTAGCCGCACAAACTTGCGCCGGTTGGGCGGCCAGTGCTTGTAAGTAAGTACTGGCATTTGATGCCCCTCGGCCTCTCACTACCGACACCAGTTCTTCTCCGGCCATTATGGCGTGGCCTTTGAAAGTCTCGGTGTGTTTGGGATGGAGGTAACGAGCCTCGTTGTAAGCAGCGGTGTGATATATTTACGGAGTACATACGTAGTCTTTTGGTTACAGATTATTGCGACTGCGTCCGGAAACCCCCCTCCACCAAAGACCGCTTAGAGTAATGAGACCGGTTTGATGAAAGAGTGGCTGACATTCAAGTACTATTGTACTCTTTAGTTAGTAGGTGGTCATCTGCTTAGCAAGTTGCAAGGATTAACTTAACAAGCAATATTACCGAGCCTGAAGGATGCACATATAATAGCGTGCCTGTATAGAGTATTTGGAATCAGCCTCCAGTACTCGTACATGCGCACACGAGGTGCTCTGTCACCAAGTCCACAAGCAGAAGCTTCTTCGCAGGCATCCGGAATTTGCTAACCTCGGTCAAAAATTATTATGGGAATGATGAGTGCCGACGCTTCGGTTGCCATTCCCACCACCTCGGATATGCATCTGGGATATAATTTGATGGGCAATAATTCATCCCACTTTATATCCGCCTGTACGGACTTTGGTATATGTAACATTGGAACCTTCTCCTCGGAATATTATTGCCAGCCTTGCTTGGGTCTCGGTGCTACCCCTCATTTAACCATGCTGCCTTGCGGGCGACGATGACATCCTCAAGCTTGATTCATTCCACGGGAGGGTGCCATACCACTATCCACTGTATAGGGTCATGCCGGCTGCAACACTACTGGGTTGCCATCTTAGCTCTCCTGATCGATCCTACGCCGTGATTGCTGGTGGTAACTAGGGGCGATGACTTGCCCTAGTCTTCAAAAGGATGTAACTGGTATAAGAGGTTCTGCATCTTGTCCTGACTGTCCCATCCGAGAGAGCATGGGCTTGGGTCTTCGAGTGTTGCGTTGTTCTTTGGAAGTGATTGACTATGACACCGCCAACATGAAGCTACCTTGGCTACCCCAAGGGAGGCGGCAACCTGGTATTCTCCCTCCAACAAGACCCGTTAATGTTCTTTATGCTTGTTTGTTTTACGCGTTAAAATAGGTTTCCGTGGCATTCCTGCACTAGTGACAATAGCAAAGTAAAGCCATTCACCACAACTAATCGTGGCGAATGATAGGGCGAGGTTCGGAGCTACCTCTAGGTCCTATTCTATACAGGGGAGTAAGATTCATGTTTCTGGGCGCTGGATGGCGTTCTTGGCAACAAACTCGATCAGCTGCATAAACTACTGTATGCAGACCCATGATCTGCCAATACGACTAAACTTACTGAGCGAAACCAAAGTCCCTCGGTGGATATGCCGATTTGCCATCGATGTTGCCGACGGTTGGTAGGAGGGAGGTGGAAAGAGGCCTGAGGACATGGAGTTGTTCCTGTCTAGGTGATCTTTGCTATTGGTGGTTTGCTCCAACAAGGGTGGATGGATTACGCTATGCAACTTGTCTTTTACGGACTAGAGCTTGTAAGCCGTCTATTTACCCGGAGGATTGCTTGAGCAAGGAATGTAAGTTTGACACTGAAGCTGATTGACTTTCAAATAGAAGGCTTTTTCATGCACAAGAGCCTGGTCTGCATCTCGAGTCGTGATGCTGCAGAAAAAAAGGCTTGATTTGAGGCACACCGTGCCAGGCTATGATTGAAAGGCTGCTCCCGACATTGTCCATCCTTACTTGATGTGGTCCTCAATGTAACTTCAAGGTGACATCGCCTTTGCACTGTATATGTACGGAGTAAGCAGGCCGCTGGGA